GCTGAGTGAAGTGAGCAGAACCAGAGGAACATTATACACAGTAACAGCCACATTGTGCAATGACTGTCTTTGATAGACTTAGCCCTTCTCAGCAATGCAAAGATCTGAGACAACTCCAAAAGTCTCATAATGGAAAATGCTATCCGCATCCAGAAAAAGAACTATGGAGTCTGAATACAAATGGAAGCATACTACTTACTCTCCTTTTCTTTTGTTATTTTGTTTTATTGCTTCTTTCTCGTGGCTCCTCCCATTGATTCTATTTCTTCTTTACATCATGACTAATGGGAAAATACACTTAATATGAATGTAAAAGTACAGCCCATAGCAGAATGCACTTCGTCTTGGGGAGGGGGGAGGAGAGAAAGGGGGAGAAAATTAAAAACTCAAAATCTTATGGAAGTGAATGTTGAAAACTAAAAATAAATAAATTATTAAAAAGAAGAGGTCTTGGAGATAGAGGAGCTCCTAGACTCTGTTCTTAGGGTTTGAAGAAGGGAAAGAGATGAGAGGGGGAAGGGAAGAGAGTAAGAATTAATTAAGTAACCCAGGACCACATAGGCAGTGTTTGTCAGTGGTAGAACCAGAACCCAGGTCTACTTGGCTTCAAGGCTGGCTCCCTACCCATTATGCCATGCATAGCATTGGAAAACTGGGAGAAACCTTAGCTTAGAACATAGAATGTCCCAGCTAGAGAGGACCTTAGAAAATAGACTGTCAGAGCTAAGAAGGCATCTTATTTGATTAGTTGTCTAGGAGGCAATTGGTGGTGTGGGACTAGAACTCAGGAAAGAGACTAGGGCCTGGATGCATAGATCTGGGAAAATGCATCAGAGCTGATGAGATTACAAAGTGAGATAGTATAAGGAGAAGGCCCCAGGATAGATCCTTGGGGGCACCCATGTTTAGTGACTGTCACCTAGAGGAAGATTCATCAAAGGAAACTGAGAAGGAGCAGTCAGGCTGGTGGAGGAATACTTGGGAGGGGGAAATATGCTGGGGAAAACAGGATGGAATGGGGTCAAGGGTCGATACAGAGTCTTGGCGAGAAGAAGGGCCACTTCTTCATGTGAGCCAGGGGTGAAAGAGGAAATGATGGGGTAAAGCATCTGAGTGATTTGAGATGAGGAGAGAAGCGGGAGCTTTCAGGGAGTGGCTTTGATTTTTTTTTTCCAGTGAAATGTGAGGTTAGGTTCTCAGCTGGGAGGGAAAGGTGCCATGGGGGCGGGGGGGGGGAATGAGAGGGGAAGGACTTGAGGAGGGATAAAAGGTTTCAGAATAGCCACTGGGGTGAGTTGGATGATAAATTGATTAGGGAGCTATAAATGGATTGTTTTGCTGGAGTAATGGCCCAGTCAAGATTATGTAACATAAATTTGGAGTGGACCCGGTCAACACAGTTTTATGTCTTTCTCTAGCTCTGCTTAGCAGAATATGACTAAGAGTGAAAGTGGTAGATACTGGGAATAGCAGCAAGGCATGATTGGCCAGAGGATAAAGGGGCAAGGGATTGGAATCAAATTGAATTGATTCACCAAAAGAGAAGGGAGGAGAGTGTAGGCTGTGCAGGGGTGATGGCCTGGGAAAGACCTGAGGGGTGGAGGGATTGGAGGTCATGGTGAGGACAAAGAATAGGGTTAGATGTCATAAGGCATAGGGGAAGCTAGAATGATAAAGAAGGTTTGGAGTTCATGAACATGGAAGTGGAACCCTTGCGGGTGATGGCAAGATCAAGAGCAGGGGAAGCTAGGTGGCGCAGTGGATAGAGCACCCGCCCTGGAGTCAGGAGGATCTGAGTTCAAATCTGGTCTCAGACTAGATACTTGACACTTACTAGCTGTGTGACCCTGGGCAAGTCACTTAACCCCAATTGCCTAAAAATTAAAAAAAAAAAGAAAAAAGAGTACAACCATCTCTGACTGTAGTTGAGGTAAGGGGAAGGAGTGTGTCATGGGAATTGAATAGATTAAAGCCTCTGAGAGAGTATCAAAAGTTGAAGTCCCCTAGTGTCAGGGCTGCAGTTGTGATGGAGTGAACAACTGGGGTCTGTTTCAGGTACCAAAACCTTGATTGGCTGATGGATATGGTTTGAATAATCTCAAAGGAGGACAAAAGGAAAGTGGTCACAGGGAGCAAGGTGCATTGCAATTCCTCCACCTCCCCACCCCACCCCAACCATGAGTACAGTCCAGGGCTATGAAAATGCAAGCAGTATTGGAAGGGGTAGCCAGGGAGGCTATGTGATCAGGAGGGAGTCAGGTCTCAGTGATCAGCTGAAGTCAAGTCTTGGGTCTTTGTTAGGGCCCAACCTTTGCTTTTCTAGGTTCTTCAAAGCCTCCCTTGACTGATTCATCAGTGAACTTGAGAAGACTACTCAAACACTGAGAGGCTAAAGTTATTTGAATTAATCTCAGCTTTGTTTTGAGTAATGCATCTTCTACTTACCCTTTGAGAAAATGGGTCCAGTTACCAGTTCCAGAACCAAGACTATTCTGGTCTTTAAAGCCCTCCTCCTCCATTACTCATTGCTGGGTAACCTCCCGCTTGTGTAAGAATGTGTACTAGAACTGGGTTTGTACCTTAACCCCCTCCTTAAGGTGACATTCATGAGGGCAGGAACTATGTATATATGCTCAACAAATGTTGATATTTGTCCTATTTCCTGGCACCATACTTTTTCTCATGTCCTTGTCACGTGTTGCTGCCTGTTGAAATCATCCTTAACCTTCAAGTCCCACCTCAGACACCACCTCCTTCATAGAGACTTCTTTATTCCCTTCTCCATCCTATCATCCAACCCTTTTCCCTCCCCTTTCCCCTCAGCAGCCAGCCAGCTATGACATTTTTCTCCCTTCCTGACAATCTCTGTGTACCAGTCTTATCATCAGCAGACTTAGATTTCAAGTCCTGGCTTTAAAACTTATTAGCTGAGTGATCACAAATATGTGACTTACCCCTTCGGAGTCTCAGTTTCCTCGACTGTAAAAGGGGCTGATGGTAACTGCACTCCCTGCTCCCAAGGCAGGGATCTGTTGTGAGGATCTGCTGACTATAATGTATGCCAAGAACTTCAGAAACCTTAAAGCTGCCCAGAAATGTGATCTCTTCCATGGTAGTATGGGACAGTAGCAGCAGTACTGGGCATCTAGGCATGAATGCCAGCTGGGTGAGCTTGGGCAAAGTAGTTCAACTTCTCTGGGGTGACTAAGTCTTGATTTATCTACATCCTGAGGGGTTGAGGCAAAGCATTTTAAACTTGAAAGTACTCTAGAAATGGGAATCATCCTCATGAATAAGGTCCATGATGTTACTGTTGCTATTAGCGTACTTATCTCATCCTCCTTAGCAGACATAAGCTCCCCAAGAACAGGGAGTGGGGGGGTTGTCTGTTTTTTCATCTTTGCATACCCCCTCAGAGCCATAGTAGGTGCTCAGTAAATGCCTCTTGGATGAATGAATGAATGAATGAATGAATGCTACAGATCCCACCCTTCTCCCCACCTCAGCAACACAGGAGGAGCTGATATTTCCTTTTCTCTTTTCCCAGATATTTCCTTTCTTCTTGGGGGGGGAGGGACGGCAGAGAGGTGACTGGTTCATCATTGAATTTGAGGACATTACTAAAACACTAGAGAGGTTGAAATTATTATTTTAATTAATCTCAGCCTTGGCTTGAGTAATGTATCCTGGGTCCTCATCCCAGCTTCATTCCTTATTGGACCCTGGCCAGGTCACTGCACAGCTGAGCTCCAGTGTCTTCATCTGTAAAATGGAGAGAAATATTTGCACTCTAGACCCCATAAGCTTGTTGTGGGAGAGATATTTTGTGGATCTTAGGGGGCTAGAGAAGTGCGTATCAGCACAGCAAAGTGAAAAGATCACTGACTGAGAACCTGGGCTAAAATCCAGGCGTTTACTACCTGTATGACCTTGGGCAAGTCACTTAAGCCACGGGACTAAGTTTCTTTATCTGTAAAATCAGAGGGTTAGACAAGATGGCCATCGAGGCCCCTTCTGGCTCAAAAATGTAAGATCCACAAACTGCAACAGTCGATATTAGGACCCCAAGAATGTACTGAAAAGGTTAGAGGGGCAGCTGTGGGAAAAAGGAGGAAAAACTGAACGATTCCAAAAAGGAGAAACTGAGAAACACCAGGTTTGGAGAAGAGGAACAAACAAACAAACTAGGGGGGGAAAGCCATGTGAGTTCAAAACCAGCAGACCGTGACTCAGACTCATTCACCAACTCTGGAGAAGAGGCCCCCTGGGAACATCTTGGGAAAAACAAGTCCAGATCAAACCTGAGGGAACATTGCCATTGATTGAAGGGAGGGGAGGTCATGTCCTGGATGCCTGAAACAAATGAAGGGGAAGGAGAAGAAGCAGTACAAAAGGCCCCCGGAGCCGATCTATAAAGTGGAGGGAGGCAGAAGGCAGTGAGGCCAAGAGGAACAGCCAAGCGGGAGGGGGAGGGCGAACAGGCCTGGCCATTTGGACTCTGGGCATGGAGAGGAGAGAATACCAGAGGCCCACATGACCTCTGGCAACCTGCATGGCTTCCTGCAGGTTGCATATCGATCAGCTGATTTTAGAGTTAGAAGAAACCATACAAGATGTAGTCCAGTCCAAGCCGCATTTCGACAGGTAGGGAAATCGAGCAGTTAGTGACTTGTTCAATGTCACACAGCTAGTACACAGCAAAACCAAGACTTGAACCCAGGAAGTCTGACTTCAAATCCAATGCTCTTGTCACCGTACCCTGCTGTCTCCAGAAAAGGGGTCGGGGTTGTTCCTCAAAGAGAGGTAACCCCTTCTGGTCCCAGGGCTATGGTGGGAGGGCCAGAAAGCCTCCACCCAACTGGTCTGGGACATTTTCATGAGGCCTGGGCACTTAGGTGGGTGGGTGGGGAACAGGGCCTCCATGGAGGATCGCTGCCGCTGCTGTCCTCCCTTCAATCAACCAATCAGTCAATCAATAAACATTTATTAAGCACCTACCACATGCCAGGCGCTGGAAACACAAATACAAAAGCGAGATAACCCCTGCTCTCAGGGAGCTTACATTCTACTTGCTGTAGACCAGTGGGGGATGCCCGTCCCCCGCCAAGGAACCCTCCCAGTCAGCAATACTTGCCTTGTTTCTGCTCCATTACTGGGGGAAAGGGAGGAATGGGGTGTCTCCTAAAACCAATTGATGTTCCCTAGAGCATGGATGGGGCAGTTGGGATGTAGTGAAGAAAGCACTGTACTTGGACTTAAAAGACCTGGTTTTAAGTCTTAGCTCAGCTACTAACTTGGGCAAGCTGCTTCTTAGCCTCAGTTTCCACTTCTGTCAAATGAGAAGAAAGATGTTTGTAGGGCCCACCTCACAGGGTTCATGTGAGGATTGGGGTTTCTCACTGATCAGAAAGGGAAGCTGTTACCCCTCTAAGTCCTCTGGTCCTTGCCCAGTCTTACCCAAACCAAGGTGTCTTGGCCCATGGGCATTCAACTCTCTGGGCTGAGCTCTCTCCTTCCGGGCCCTTGATTCACAGCATCCCCCCACCCCAAATGAGCACAAACACACATGCAAGGGCACACCACAACATAACCACAAACCCACAAGGCCAGTAACACAAAATAGAACCATAAGGAGCCAGGGATCTCCTAGCTGGAGCTCCCCCCTCCCCATGCCAGGACTTTTTCAGATGTTGTTGGCTGGGGCTGGGGCAGTAGCGGACCTGCTCTTGGAGGAGAGGGCCTGCTTCAGGCGCCGCTTCAGGTCCTGCATGTTGGGGGACTTGGGGCGGGCCAGGTGGAGGCCTCTGCGCTTTTCCACACAGATACTGCTGCAGGCGCCGGCATTGGCGTTGGCGTTGGCACTGGGGCCAACACTGGGGCCACTGCCGCCACCCCCGACGCGGCCCACCAGCTGGCACAGCTGCTGGAAAGCATCGTTCACGCTGTCGAAATTCTCCCGGGCAGACACCTCCGAGTAACTTCCACCCAGCTCCCCAGCCAGCTGCTCCCCCTCATCTGGGGACACTTGGCGGGCCCTGAGCAGGTCACCCTTGTTGCCCAACAGCAGTAGGGGGATGTTGGCATTGGGGTGAATCTTGCGGATGTGTTGGTACAGGGGCCGGATGATGCGGTAGCTAGCGTGGTCGGTGATGGAGTAGACGCACACGAAACCATCCGCCCAATAGATGGAGCGGTTCACCTGCTCCTGGCAAACGATGACCTCACTATTCTCCTGTGCAGAAAGTGAAGGCAGAAAGGGGAGTGGGGGAAATGAAGCCCTGTTAAAATTGTAGCAGGGCAGGATGGGTTAAAGACAGTGAAACACAAGACTGGAGCTATCTCGGACCCCAACTCTGGGCCTCCCCATCACCTCCTGCCTGAACGATTGGAGGAGGTGATCTCCCTGCCATCTACTTCAACCAACAGACATCTCTTAAATGCCTCCTCCTGTGCTGGGGATACAAAGGCAGAAATGAAGCAGTCTCTTCTCTCAAGAGTTTGGGTTCTGTTGGGGTGAGGTACGTAGACCAGATCTCAGTTTGAGTCTTTGAAGTAAATTTGAAGTAAATAAAGGCGCGCTAATTTGAAGAGAAAGAGAACAGTAACAACTGAGTGGGGGATCAGAACAGGTTTCCTGTAGGAGGTGGCACACGATCTGAGCCCTGAAGGAAGCTGAGGCCTCTAAGAGGCAGAGGTGAGGGGGGAGAGCACTTCAGGCACATGACAGTCTGTGCACAGAATTCTGAGCTTGGAGCCAGCTTTAGTAAGCCAGTTTGGTGGGAGAGGGGAGGGGTATATGAGTACATGAAATCCACTGGGGAAGGCAGGCCAGAACCAGTCTGCGAGGGGTTTCTTTAGAAGCAACAAGGAAATCATGAAGATTTGTAAATGACACAGTCAGAACTGTGCCCTAGGTAGATTATTTGGGACTCTTAGATGGAGGCTGGATTGCAAGGGGAGAGACTGGAAACAGGTAGACCATTAAATGAGTCCAGCAGAGAGGTGATGAGGGCCTCAATTATGGTGGTGATTATGTAAGTAGAAAAGGACAGATGTAAGTGATGTAAGCGGTAGAAATGAGAAGACTCAGCTAATGATGATAATAATTATTCAGAGGGTCAGGGAATGAGCAAGAGAGAGGAAAGACTGAAGAAGAAGATACTAATTGTGCTTTGAGATTATGAAGCTGGGTGACCAAATGGATGGCGGAGGGTCTTAACCACCTCGAGTCTCTCCTCTTTCCAAGCCATCCTTCACTCAGAGGACAAAGGGAGCTTCCTGAGGTACAGGCCTGACCATATTCCTCCTCTCCCCAAACATCTTTCATGGTTCCTTTGGGCCTCTAGGGTCAAATCTAACATCTTTAGTCTGGCTTTGAAGGCCCTTCCCAACTTGGCTGCCATCTCCCCTCATAAGGCTTCTTGAACCCTCGGTGGAAGAGTTGAGCCCATCTGGTTTTCCAGCCCCTCCTTGCTCCCGCCAGGCCTCGCTTGCTGTCTTGTAGTTCAGCAAAGCTAACAGAAGCATGCCCGGAGGATGTTCACTAAAATCCTTTTCATCCTTCACACCTCGGCTCAGGTGAGGTGTCTTGGGGAAGCAAGTCCTGCTCTACCCATTCTCTCCCTCCTTGAACCTTCCCAAGAACCCTTAGCCTAATTCTCACTTGTGGCCTTATCATCTTTTCCCTTGTATCATATTTATCTGAGTCCTGGAATTTCAGAGATGAAAGGCTCTCAGAGGTCAACTAAGCCTTCCCAAACCAGACCAAGAAGCCCCAGAATATTGCCCCCTCCCTAAATGGTTGGTCTTTCCAACTGAAATCTGAACACAGTGAAGGAGGAGTCCACTACCTCCATCCTGCTTTTATCTGCCTCTTATCCACATTCATCTAGGAGAGAAAACCCCTGGTTTTGCCTTCTGGGGCTAAGCAGAGTTGGTCTAATCTCTCTTCTCCATGACAGTCTTTTATATACTTGAGGGCATCTATTAGGTCCCCCCATAAGACTTTTCTCTTGATTAAATGTCCCCAGTTCCTTCAATTGACCATCGTGGTCACCATCTGGATTTTCTTTTCAACTTAGCAAGGATTCGTACACATCTCTTAACTTCCTCATTAGAGCATAAGCTCTGTGAGGCCAGGCATGAGGCTTTGGACCCTCCATACTTAGCACATGTCAAATACATGTTTGATGAATTGACTTATATTAGGCACCAGGAAGACCTTTCTTGTTGCAAGGGGTGGTAAACCCTGGAGACTCTTCTAGAAGAGAGAGAGCCCAGAGTCAAGGTCATTGGGCACCAATGTGGGAAGGCCTCACCTGTCACTGAACTGGGCTGAGCCCACTGATGTCTAAGGAGGAGATTTTCATCTGACACTCTCCTCCCCCGTCTTCCCATGCATATATCAATTCCTTTGGCTGAGTGGGATTAAAAGGAAGTTCCTGCTCAGAATGGGCCCTGATAACCTTCCTCCCTGGAAGTCCCTGGTGGTTCTATATATTAATGGGATTTTTCACTAGAACTTGCTGGGCATTAGATGGGATGGTCGCTGGCCACATTCCAGGTGGAATTGTCTATTCAGGAAATGCAAAGACCCATCAAACTCATTTTCTCTTTGTTTTGCTTCTTGGAAGGAATGCCTTGGCAAGGGATAATTCTGGAGTTCACCAGTCACTGCCCAAGTCTTGGGATGGCAGCCCACACATGCCCCTCCCTCCCTCCAGCCCAGTAAGAAAGTGGCTTCCCTTAGCTGTCAGACTTGAACATTTATGGTAGGCTGAAGTTCTCACAAAGTAGATCAGCTTTCCTCTTCCCACCCATTGGTGCCCATTGCTATCACTCAACTCCCGTCTCTTCCCTCTCCCTCCTCATTTCTCTATCCATCAAGCTTCTTCGATTCCTTCCTGATTTCCCCACTCACTCAAGATCCTCCCCCTCTGCTCCTCAATCCTCTACCTCATCTCATCTGCATTCAGTCTTATCCCCTCATCTCCCTTTCCCTTCTCCCCCCCTACTCACTAACCCCTCATTCCTTTGTATTTCTGTTCCCCTTATTCCCAATTCCCCCTCTCCACTTCCACCCTTCATCTTCTCTCCACTCACTTCCCATTCCTGTCCAACTCCCTCCCATTTCACCAGTCCAAACCTTCGGCTTTTTATGAGCCTTGACCTCTCGGAAGGAATCAAACCAGAGTGAGAACTGAACATATTCTGGGCCTGGGCTCCTCCCCTCTCCTTCTTCATTTGGCAAAGGCTGTTGGCTGCCCTAGAGGCTATGGCACTGGGGGGATCCTTTCCTCAGCCCTGGGAAGGTCACTTGTGTGGAAAAATGTGACTTTCTTGCACCCTTCCTACTGCAGCCCAGTGACAGGCTGGAAAGATGGAGGCCAAGGGCAGTACAGAAAACATTCAGGGTCATGCCTTTTTGTTTGTAAGGACTGAAATAAGTCCATGAATAGGACTGAAGGGGAGTTCGTTGTGGTTTCAAAGAGATGACCATTTTGGTCAGCTCTCTGGGCCTTATGTGGGTTCTGGGCTAGAGCTGCCAAAGGGGGCAGTCACCCTGGCTCCAGTGTTTTCAAAGCTCTGCTGACTGCAGGTGACCCCTAGATTCTTTTGGCCAATCAGTATGGGCCTCCCAGGCACCTTGCTGTGGCTCTGGGAGGCTAGGCCTAGGGGCAGAGACTCCAGGTGCATTTGCTGTCCAAGAAAGAGCCTACAAGACAAGGCCACCTCCTTTGGCCTCCACCAACTTTATCCCTGGGCCCTTGGACTAAGGTCTCAGGTACCTACTGTGCTTCAAAAGTGCCCCAAAGCGATTTCCTGCCTCATTGGTTTATGTTTTGGATGACGTCGAGCCAGGTAGGAGATCAGCCAAAGAGTTCCAAGAAGGAAGCTCTTACCTCCAGGGCCACATAGGGGGTGTCCTGAACCTGGAGAGAGATTTCTTCCCCATCAAGAGTGAACTGGCGAGAGTACAAGGAACCTGATGGAGGAGAGATCACAAAAGAATATGAAGATCACCAGACCAAGAGAAGTCAGGAGGTTGGGGATTGGGCATCTGCTACTGACTCGCTGTGTGGCTTTGACCAGATTCCATTTGATCTTCTGTAAACTGAGGCAGGCTAGGCTAGATAAGGGACCCATAGGCTCTCTTTAGACCTAACATGTTAGCTCCGGGGAGATGATTCAGAAGGTCCCTTCCAGCTCACACACACCATGACTCGGGCTCAAAACTGAGATGGCATCTCTGTTAAGGAGAACAAATAGCCTGAGTGGGAAGAAGGCCTTGTGACTGGCTGCTCAGAGACCCCCTTGTCAGGCTGAGTCAAAGCTGCCATTTACCTAGGGGGTAGGTGTCAGTAATCTAGAAGGAAGTGCTTGACAGATGCTAAATCACTAGGACTGGGGTGGGGGAGTGGGGGTGTGAAGCCGGAGGCTCACTGAGCCAGGCTAGGGTCATGGGAAGAAAGCAGAGCCTCAGCATGAAGGGCGGGGGCAGGGGGAGGCCTCATGCCAGCACATCAAGGTGCCAATCTGCAGAAACCAGAGGATGAGCATTTGGGCCACCAGTTCCATCTCTTCCTGGAGGAATGATTGGAATAGGCCCTCCTGGGAGCAGGAGATGGGGCTTGGGTGGTGAGATGGAACCAAGTTTAAAGGTCAGTTCTCCCAAGGGAGCCCAGTACAGTGGCCCATTCCAAGGCTGTCAAGAGACCTGAGTCTGAATCCTGACACACATTTACTAGCAGTAGGATCCTCTCATGGCTCAGAGTCTCAGTTTCTTCATCTATAAAATGGGAATACTAATACTTAAGACTACCTAACTCAGAGAGTAGCTTTGAGGAACACACTTTGCCACTCTTAAAGGGAGTGGAAAATGGGAGTTCATGTCACCTCCCCCCCCCCCACACAAACACTAGAGACATTAGGCAACCTCTGGAGAAAAAAAAGGCAATCTGGGACTCAGGAAGGCCCCGGGTTCAAGTCCTGCCTCCGACATATACAGGCTGTGGAGCCCTGCAGCTTGTCAGCGCCCCACGTAAGCAATTCTCTGTGACCATAAGTTATGGGGGACTTGGTAGTCTACACTGATGGAGGGTGTTTCTCAACACCAATAGAATAATAGGTCTGACCCTCCCCCTCACAGCACACCCTTTTGGATACCCTGCCGTCTTAAAAACAGCAAGGTGACACAGTGGATAGAGCACCCAGGCTGGAGTCAGGAAGACCTGGTTTCAAATCTAGCTAACTGTGTGACCCTGGACAAGTCACTTTACTTCTATCTGCCTCAGTTTCCTCAACTGTAAAATGGGGGTGATCATAGTGCCTACTTCCCAGAGTTGTGAGAATTGAATGGGATATTTGTAAAGAGCTTAGCCTAGGGTCTAGTACACAGTAAGCACTTCATAAATGCTTATTTCCTTCCTATTCCAACATCTCACTATCTACACATATGCCCATATTTCTTCCATATACCTAAGCAATGTCTCTCCTTGATTTTCCTTTTTGGAAAGTCTGAAGCGTGTTCCCTTGGGAAGAGACCTCAGCGCTCAGGCCTTCTGGTGAGCAGAAGAAGCACACTGCATACCAAGGAATGCACCTGGCTTTGGGGGCCTTCCCTGATCACAGAATGCCCTGGCTGCATGCTGGTTGCTAAGGATGCAGGCTGTTGCTACGGGCCAGCCGATGCCCTGCATGGATTGTCCTGGATTGTTTGCCTTCGTGAGGGCTGGCATCACACTACTCCCATGCCTTTGACAGAGTGACTGTTCCGCTTCTCTTCCCTCACTGTGGCCAATGGCTGGGCCAGGAGAAGGGTGACCCACCAAGGTCTAGGGAGACCTCTCACCTCTTTAGACTCGGTGGCTGGTCTGGTCAAGAGGGCCAAGGGCAGGAAAGGAGAGGTGGGCAATGAAGGGAAAAACTGGCAAGAAGCCAAAAGTGGGTCTGAGCTCTAAATAACTGTTCTTCCTGAGCAGGGAAGAGGCAGAGAGGAGAAGGGGAATGGGCCCTGGCAAAAAACAGGCCAACAGGGAGAATCTGATTGCTTAACATGAGTGAGGGTCACGGTGATCCTGATATAATCATATATTAATAACAATGATGTTAACCATAGTAATAATAACTCAAAGTGCTTTCCTCACAAACAACCCTGTGAAGGAGGTGGAACATGTATTATTAGTCCCACTTTCCAGATCAGAATACTGAGGTTCAGAAACAATGCCATCTCCAGGATAATGGCTGTCATTTCCTTGGTTTTTATCTATGGCTAAAGAGCCTTCAAGGTCTATTCATTCTGGACAACAGTGCTTACCTTCATGGATTACTGGAGCCCCTCCCAAGTACCTTCCCCATGGTCAGTAATTTCAATACTCTTCAAACAATTTGAAGTAGGTAGGTAAGAGTGAGCAGAGGCAAAGAGCAGAGTCAAAGCTAGAAAGGTCCTCAGAGATCATCTAACCTAACCCAACCCCCTTCAGTTTGCAGAGGAGGAAACTAAGGTCCAAGGAGGGGAAGTGACTTACCCAGGGTCACACAGTAACCAAACATCTGGGCTAGTCCTCGAACCAGGTGTTCTCAGTTCAAATCCATCCTCTTTATCACTATGCCCCAGACAAGCTCCCTTGTAATTCTCCCCATGTGGACACTGAGGTGACTTGCCCGTGAGAGAATGACCTGCTGGTTCCTGGCCCATTACTCTAGCTGGGTTTCTATGGAAGGGAAAACCCAGACCATCTGGGAGTGGGCAGGGAGCCACTTGGCCTAGAGCTGAATGGGTGCATGTCCTTGCCCTGCTGGACCTGATGTCTTCGCTGGCTGCTGCCAGCTCTAAAGCTATGATCCCAGGAGTCTCTGATCTTGTCCCCTCTCCAAACCCCCCCAGCTGCAAGGGGCCTCCAAACCTGCTGAGCCCCTGAGGCTTGAGGCAACAGCCCAGGTTCTTCAGCTTGCCACCTTGGAACCTCAGGCTTGGCACGTCAATATTCCATAAGCACAAGGCCCTCATCCTCCAGCCAGGGAAGAAGGCATATAGTGACCTACCCAAGGGCCTCTGGGACTTCTGGCTTTTTTCTTCTCTTGGGAGGCCAGGCCAGCAGCATCTCTCTGGGTCCTCACCCACCCTGCTCCCCTCACCCCTTTCCTCAGCAGGATGGGAAGAGGGGGAGGGGAGGGAGATAGATTGCTGGCTTCACTGGAATGGGGGTGGGGTGAGAGTTTTTCCACTATGAATCAAAGGCTGCCCCTGGGGAACTGGGGGAAGGGCCTGAGCAGAAGAGGGAAGGTTCTGGCCCCTTCAGGGCCCAGGAGCTGGATGAACTCACCGGTGTTGGCCTCATAGTCGCCAATAAATCTCTTGGTGAGGAAACGGACAACCAGGGCTGCAAAATAAGGCAAAGCCACACTTTGGTCTCTAGGGAGAGGGGCTGCCTGGGCCCTGAAGTCAGGCATTTTCATCGCCTCTCTCCTCTTCAGCAGGACTGCTGCCCTGGGCAAGGCCAGCCACTACTCTCCTCAGGTCTGGGCTCCCAAAGGAGGAGAGGGAGAGAGTCAGCAAGGGAGGGTGGAAAGGAGGGCTCACTGGGGCTGGGAAGTGTCCCCTTGATTCAGCTAAAAGGAGAGCCCCTACTTTTCCTGAATTCTCCTAAGCTCAGAGGAAGTCACATATCCCTCCATCCCCAATTTTCCAGCTGTGGTCCAGCTGTGACAAATGGCCTGGGGCCTTAGGGTCCTCCCCCCAGGTCCTTCAATACCCCTTGGCCCTGGGTCCATCCTGGACCTTGTTGGCTGTTGTCTTTGCAAAGGCAGCCAATGTGGGAGGTGAAAATCATCTGAGTTGGGTGGGGGTGGGATGTCAGAACTGAGCTGGGGGTGGGAGTGTCAGCTCTGAACTTGGAGTAGGGGTATCCAATTAGTGACCAGTTCGGGGAGTCAGCTTGAGGAGGGCAGTGTGTCAGATCTGAGGTGATGAGGCTAGGGTGTCAGCTCAGATTGAAGAAGGAGGGGGTATCAGCCTTGGGGGGCTGTGTATCAGTGATCCTAGAGGGGCAATTTGTGCAGAGCCTGGGGTGGTGTGTATCAGCGGGAGCCTGAGGGGGTGTGCTCAGGGCTGAAGGGGTGTCGGTGCTGAGCATGGGGGTGGTGTCAGAGCTGGGGTGTGTGTGTGGTGTGTGTGTGTGTGTGTGTGTGTGTGTGTGTGTGTGTAAGGACAGAGGTAAGGGGGAGAGTCAGAGCTAAGTTTAGGGGGTAATATGAGAGCTGAGCTGGAGAAAAGGTGTCAGCTCAGAGTTGAAGAAGGGGAGGGTCTCAGCGGTGAGCCTGCGGTGGGGGTGTCTGAGCTGAGTCTGAGGGGTCACCATGGGAGCAGTGTCAGCGCTAAGTGGGAGGGGGGTTGTCAAGGACTGAGCTGAGTAGGGAGTCAAAGCTATGGTTAGGGGTTTTTATGAGAGCTGATTAGGTGTCAGCTCAGAGTTTAAGAAGGGGGGGTATCAGAGCTGAGCCTTGGGGGTCACTGAGCACGGGGGGGATGTGTGTCAGAGCTGAGCCTAGGGGTGTGTCAGAGCTGGGGAGGGGAGTCAGAGCTAAGTTTAGGGGGTAATATGAGAGCTGAGCTGGGGGAAAGGGTGTCAGCTTAGAGTTGAAGAAAGGGGGTGTGTCAACGCCGAGCCTGGGGGTGTCAGCGCCGAGAGGGGGGGGGTGTCGGCGGGGGGGGGGGGGTGGGGTGTAAATACCGATTCTTGAAGGATATAAGTCAACGCTGAGCCAGGAGAGGGGTAATCAGCTCTGACCATGGGGGGATATTAGCGTTGAGGAAGGGGGCATCAGTGACCATCCTGGGGGGTGGGGGGTGGTATAAGTGCAGATTCTGGGGGGTGTGTCAGCAGCTGCCTAGGGGGTGTGTCCAAACTAGGTCTGGGGGGATCTCAGTGATGGTTGGGGGCTTCGGCTTTGGGCTTGGGGGGTGGGGTGTCAACTTTAAGGTGGGGGGAGGAAAATGTCAGGACTGAGTAGGGGGCGAGTCAAAGCTAAGTTGGAGGGGGGGGTGATGTGAGAATTGAGCTGGGGGAAAGGGTTTTCAGTTCAGAGTTGAGAAAGGGGTTAGAGCTGAGGGGGGTGGGGTGTTAGAGCTAAGTGTGGGGGGCCATAACAGGTCTGAGCCCTTAGGATGGAACCTGGGTGTATGGTATTAGCGTAGAGCACCGAACCCCCTCCCCCCCAGATCATCCAGTCACCTGGGCCACCTGTTAGGCGTTTAGGAGCTCTGCTGTTCTTCCCAGCCGCCCCACCCCTGCTCAATCTCTGTATCAGGGTTCTGGGACTGACGAGTCCCAGGGCACCGCTCCCCCCCCCATCGCACCCCCCTCCGGCTTTTCCCCTCCCCCACCCGCAGCAGTACTAGTTGCCCCGGCCCCTTCTAGTCCTCCCCACCCCCAAACCCTGGGATCAGAGCCTGTTATGCTCCCCCTCCCCTGGTTCTGCTCCCTGCTCCCCCCCTCCCCCGCCCCGCTCCCCAGCCCCACCCCTCGATCCCCTGGTCCTTCTCCCCACCTTCCAGCCCCTGGGTCCCCCGACCCCACCCCATCCCGTCCTGCTCCCCACCCTCTTCGGGGTCCCCGGCCTCAGCCGTACCAGTCTTGCCGACACTGCTGGCCCCCAGCACCACGATCTTGATGGCCTTGCCCGGGGGTGAGCAGACGGGCCCGGGGCACTCGGGGATGGGCACCAGCAGAAAGTTGGTGGAGTAGGGCGCTATGGCCGAGGTGGAGAAGTGCCACATGGTCGCGGGAGGCGGGAGGCGGCGGTAGCGGCGGCGGAGGCAGCAGCGGCAGCGGCAGCGGCCTGGCTCGGTGGGGCCAGCGGCGGGCCCACGGGCCGGTGGCGGCGGCGGCGGCGGCGGCAGAGACGGCCCGACGGCCGGACGGCCCGCGGCTGCGGCTGCGGCTGCACAGGAGTCTCTCCCGGCCTGGCCCAGCGTGCCGACTGGTCCAGCTGCGCTGGCACCTCTCTGATCTCCTCGGGGCCCCTTCCCCTCCCCTGCCCTCCCCTCCCCGGGGCGAGCGTGCCCTGCTCTGCCCGCCGCTGGCTCGGCCGCCGCCGCTGTCACAGCCGCGGGGCCGAGGCGTCTCCTGCCCAGGCAGCCTCCCCCGCGCCCGCCCACGGCCAAGTTCACCAGAGAGCGCGGCCACCGGGAAAAGTTTGGGAGCCGCTCGCTGCGCTCGCTCGCTCACTCGCTGCTGCTGCTCCGCGGGAAAGCGCGCTCGGCACCAGGGAGAAAGAGCCCTGGCCAATCAGCGGGCGCGGGGGGCCGGGCTTGGCTCGCCTCCGAGCCCCCACTTGTCCCGGCAGCCAATGGCAGAGCCCAGAGAGCCGGGCAAAGGCAGAGCTCGCACCAGCCTTACTTAGGTAATTGAGCCCAAAATATTAGGGTGGGACTGTGCCAGAGGCCAAGAGAATGGCACCAATAGGACCAGCCTTACTTAGGTAACTGATCCCAGAATATTAGGGGGGTATGTGCCAGAGGCCAAGAGAGTGGCGGCAAGAGGACCAGTCTCACTTAGGTAACTGGTCCCAAAATATTAGGGGGTGGGGGGCGGGGGAATGATGTGCAACTCAACAGACAACAGCTTGGTAGGGTTGGAACTAACCTTTGAAGATAGAAAAGAGAATCTAAGAGCTGAGTGGAAACCCCTCCAAACAGATAGCATGCCAGAGTGGGGAGGGATCACAGAATCCAGGCTGTCAGCGAGGCAAAGAATCTTCGGACCTAGAGATAGGTGGTCTCCAAGAGAGCCTGGGTTCTTAGGAATTCTAGAGCAAACAAAGTAACACAATTTCTATGTTAATAAAATGTCTGTTTCTTAACCATTACTGCAAGGGGCTAAGGCTGAAAGGAAGACCCTGCAGACCTACCTCCTGCCCGGTGTGGGGTGAGGAGCTGACAGTAGCGGTGGCTCACTGGGAGTGGATGGAGGCTTTAAGAGAGCCATTTAGGGGCCTTCCTTTTGGTTCATCTCATCCCTAGGAAGAAGGTAGCCCAGCAAGTCAATGGATCTCCAGGCAATTATTTCAGATGAGGAGGTTCCACTGCCCAGCAGGGGTTCAAGCCATGTTTACTAAGCAGGCTCTGATTCAGACGCTGGTTAGTTACCACTCTTGCCGAAGCTGAGCGAGGGTCCTTTATTCATTCCATCTTTCCATATAAAGAAAGTCCCTCTTTCCCGTGGAAGGGAACAGAGTAGAACCGAGAACATAATCTGTTTATAGGTGGAAAGAACCTTAAAACAGAATTCTAGCATGGGAATTGACCCAAGCACATATAACAGAGACTGTCATAACAGAGACCTTAGAACAGAGATGTAGAAAGCAAGAGCTGGAAAACTCCAGAATAGATGTGGGGAACCTGCCGCTGCAAAGCCACATGTGGCCCTCTAGGTCCTTGGGCCCGGCCCTTTGACTGAATCCAAACTTCACAGAACAAATCCTTTAGGATATAGCCACATGTGGTCTTGAGGTTACAGGTTCCCCACCCCTGTTCTAGAACCTAGAATTTTAGAACTGGGAAAAAAAACCTTCTGCTATGGAACATTGTGTTAGAATTGCAGAAAACCTTAAAAAGCCCAGTTGGGAAAGAACCTTAGGACATAGAATTTCAGAGCTGGAAAAGAAAACATATGAGAGTTTCCATGAAGCTTCCATCTGTGATAGAAAGAACCTTAGAACATAGAAACTTCTAGCTAAAAGACCCTTCAACCACAGAATATGGAATGTTAGAGTGGAATGGGACCTTACTAGAAAGATCATACAACATCAGAACTGGAAATCAACTAATCAACCAACCACCATTTATTAAGGCTCTACCAAATGAGGTAAACACTGGGGATATGAAGACAAAAGTGAAGTACTTCCTATTCCCAAGGACCTTACATTATATCCACATGTAAATATATACAAATGGTAAATATAAAATAAATATAAGGTAGTTAGTGAGGGAGGGCATTAGTAGTAGGGAAGATCAGGAAAGGCATCATGTAGAAGGTTTGGTGCTTGGGCTTCATCTTGAAAGAAATAAGATATTCTATGAAAGTGAGGAGGGAGCCATTCCAGTGCAAAAGCATTGGAGATGGGAGATGGACTCTTGGATATTGTATGTGAGGAATAGAGAGAAGGGCAGTGTGGCTGGGGTGTGTGACAGTGTTGGGGAACAGGAAAGGTAGTATTATAAAATGAGACTAGGATGAGTTTGTGGCCAAGCTGTGAAGGACCTTAGAAGGCAAACAGAATCAAACATATTTGATTCTAGAGGTAGTAGGAAATTTATTAGAAGGGGTAGTGACATGGTCAGATCTGTGCTAACGCAAATGATCCCAGCAGCTGTGTGGAGGATTTATTAGAGTAAGGAGAAAGATCCAGCATGAGGCTATTGCAGTACTCCAGGAAAGAGGTAATGGGTGCCTAAGCTATATGAGTAGAGAGATGGGGTGAATTGTAAGTGACGTGGTAGAAATAGAAACAATATTTGACAATGTACTGGATATGTGTGGTGTGGGAGAGTGACAAGTCAAGGATAACATTAAGAATAGTATTTGGGAAACTAAGAGAATAGAGGTGCCCTCAACAGAAAGGGGAAATTTGATAGGAGGATTTTGGGGAGGGGGAAACTATGATGCATTCCATGCTTGTGTTGTTTTGTTTTTACTTTTTGCTGAGGCGATCGGGATTAAGTGACTTGCCCAGAGTCACACAGCTAGTAAGTGTCTGAGGCCGGGTTTGAACTCAGGTCCTCCTGACTTCAAGGCCAGAGCTCTATTCACTGCACCTCCTAGCTGCCCTGATGCATTCCATTTTGGTCCTGGCAAGTTTGAGGTGTCTCTGAGACATCCTGTTTGAAATATCCATTATATGGTGATGTGGATCTGGGGCTCAGGAGAGAGATTTGGCCTGGAAATATAGGTCTGGGAACCATCTGTGTAGAGATGAGAGTTAAATTCATGTGAGCTGATAATATTATTAAGGGAGAGTGTCTAGAAGAAGGAGAGCAACTAGAACAGAACTTTGGAGGAACAACCACAATTAATTGTATGGACCATGATCCAGCAAAGGAGACTGAGAAGGATTGGTCAGCAAGGTAGGAGGAGAACCAGGAGAGAGCTCATGAATAAAAATCCATGGAGGACAGAGTATTCAGGAAGAGAGGGTGATTAGCAATGCCCAGTGTGGCAGAGGGTCAAAAAGTGTGAGCAATGAGAAAAGACCATAAATGTTCAGAGTTGAAAGGGACCTTAGAACAGAGGAAACAGAACAGAGACCTTTCAAAAAGAGCCTGGAAATATCTTAGAATAAAAAACATAGAAGATTAGAACTAGGAAGAACCTTAGAAAATAAAACATTGAATGTTAGTATTGGGATGGACATTAGAATATAGAAGGAGGGGATATCACTGGGACTTCCTTTTTGAATCATTCAGTAAGAGGTTTGAACAAGACCTAGATAGCCCCACTGATCCCACCAATGATCACTATACCCCTACTTCGAGTAGCTACCTTAACCAAGTGAGAAGATTCTATAGAATGAATCATTCAATGGCTTTAGACTAGACGTGAGAAGTCTTTGAATGCCACTGGATAAAATGGAGTGTGGCTGAATATGAGGTGCGTTGGTATTGGCTGAGGATGCTTGTTCATGCCTTATGGGTCTGCTTGCTATAAGCCAGTTGTGAACTCAAGCATTCCAATTGTAAGCAAGGAGAGCTAGATGCAGCCAAGCCATTGAGAGAAAATCATGTAGGGGTGGGTGAGAAAAACGTCTATATATCTTTCCTTTCCATGACCGAAGATGACCTTGTGAACTTTGGAGAGTCACAGGATTTGTACTTATCAGAATCCTAGCTATGTCCTTGAGACAGCAGGGGCTGACCATGGGGCTTGTACTGAGAGTTGAGAATAAGGCAGCAGTTGAAGAAAGGCAGCTTCAAGCTTTACAAGGAGTCTAGAAGAAAACTATATCATGTATAAGGGGAACTTTATGAGTGCCCCACTTTCCCAAACGAGCTCTCTAAACTTGATCCCACTGGACTCGGGACTCTGCATATACTACATATACTGGTCACAAATCAAATTTGGGAAAATGTTTTATACCAAAGGTCTTTATTATATATACCACCTTAGTAAAAATACTCAGGTTGCACAGTGGTTAGAGTATGGGCCCTGGAGACAAGAAGACCCAAGTTCAAATTCCACATCAGACACATACTAGCTCTCATGTTAAAGTTGTAAAGAACCTTAGAATATAGAACATAAAATTTTTAGCATGGGAATGGATCTTAGAATTGAGAATATAGGATAGTAAAGCAGGAAAAAACCTTACAATAGATGCAGTAGAATGCAGTAGAGTGTGAAGGGATCTTAGAACAAAGAACATAGAATAGTTGCCTCATCTATAAAATGAGGATCATAAAAGCCCCTACCTCCCAGTGCTGTGGTTAGGATCAAATAAGGTAACAATCATTGCAAAACCCTTAGCATAGTGCCTGGCACATGGTAAGCACTATATAAATGTTATTTATTATTATTATTCCCCTTTCTAAAAGTCACATCTAAGTGACTAAATGATCTCAAATAATAAGTATTAGGGGAAGCACACTGGTGGGGGTTCATGATCTATGACATTAGGAGACCACTCCTCTTCTCCAGTTCCTCAAGGTCCTGTAGAACCCTGAAGGGGGAAACATCTCCTCTTCTGGAGACCTAACCTGTCATTATGAACTGGTATTTAGGGAATAATTTCAAAGTAG